GCACAGCCAAGGTAAAAGCCACATATCCAGTAGAAAGAAAACTAAACTGGAGGACAGACAGCAGAGCAGGCCAGGTTAGTGCCTCAGAGGACAAAGTGGCATTGGTTTCACTAGGAACGTGAGCAGCTGATGGAAACTGGGGAACTGGTTGTCAAAGAGTTAAGTTTCCCCAGCAGCACTCAGATTCCCTTCCTGATTAGATGACAACCCCCAGCCTGTACAGGGTGGTTCAGGGTTTCCCAAATTACTCTTGTATCCACTTTCTGAGGAGTCTCACTGAAAATCCTCTGAGGCATTAGAGCAGGATTATTTCTCCCAGAGAGAAGCTCAGAGAAGTAGAATGACTTGCCCAGGGTCCCATAGCTAGAGTTGGAAGATCTCTGTCTCCAAACCAGCGCTCTTGCTCCAGAGCTATGCTCTGTCTCACATCTGGACTAACAATGGCTCTGGATGGTGCCAGGCTGGGATTTTGGTGAAGGTCAAGGAACAATTTCCCGATACTGACTGGAAGGTAGAATCAGATGGGCAATCCAAGGACTCACATGTGTCAATGGCAACAAGGGTGTCATCAAAATCATCTTCATCTTCTTCAGCAGGAGGCTGAGGAGAACGGCCCCTGTATAGGAAAGAGGGGTTCAGTCACAAGAGAACAGCTGGACGAACACAAACGAAGGGAAATGAAGGTTCTGCTGGAATTTACAAGTGTCCTCCAGACTGCTTCCTGGATCTCAATTTCTTCCCACAGAGGTTAGCAAAAGAGCTCTGCAACCCTATATACTCGTAGTGAGAGCAATGACTGTTAACTCCTAGGATGGAGACAGGGACTGGAGAGGGCAAGATGTCCTACAGGGGGCATCAGAATTATTTAGGGAGCTTTCCCAAACATTCTTTTCTCACACCCCAAGATGCTGATCCATGCCCTCTGCATGCTGAGAACTGCCTCCACACTGAACTCTGTTACTGATTAGAAGCTGTGGTATCCCAAGGGTGCTGGCCAGAAAGGGGAATGTGCAAGAGCCTAGATAAACTCCAGTAATTACAGTCTGTCCATGTATCAGCCTTCTTAAAATCCTGTATCTGAAAGGGTTTGAAATGACCCATTTTTTTCAGTTTCTTTCTCTCTTTCAAAAGTGCCCTAAATTATGAACAAGATTCATCTTCCTACCAAAACACTAAAAAAGGGATTTTGTTAAAATGCTACGGGATTTTATTAAAATGCTACTGGCTTCTGCTGTATAGGAATAAGGGAGAGTATAGGGTAGAAAAGTGGGGTCTAATGCCAAGGGTCCTGCTTGGACAGTAGGATGGCCCTGGTCTACCACATGCACTGATCAGGTAAGCCCATGCCCACCTGGCTGCTGGCACTCCCCCAGCAGCAGGCTTCCCTCTGGTGGAGTGCCCTTCTGGCCTTGCCCATCCAGGGCTAGCACAGAGCCTGGTACAAAGCAGCAGCTCATCACATGTTAAGCCTATCCTAGGAAGCTTTACCTGCCAGCCTGGGACCAGAGCAAGTATTCCTCCTCTGTTCTCTACTAGCAACCAGCTTCTAGGCCTCTGTTCTTTTGGGAGGCAGTGGAAGAAACCCATATAGGATGGGTTCTATGTCCTAATAATTTTAGTCACAGCCTGTGAGACCCAGCCTTTAACAAGTTGGTTTATAAGGTGAACTCCACCAGGTAAGAAATAAAATGTGGCAGAAGACCAGTCCAGATGAGGATAAGAGTGGTCATGCCTAGTTTCCATGATTAGAAAAGGCTTCAGAGAGGACATGAAGGAGGGAAGGAGGAGGCTAGGACTAGGCCTGGAGAGGGAGAGGGCTTGTCAGAAGAGGGAAAAGGGAACCGACCAGAGCAGAGGCCACTCTCTCTTATGAGCTCCTGAAAGTCACCTACATCCTAACTACTCACCGCCAAGGTTGTGGCTTACTTCTCATTGTGTCTGTCTCAGTCCTCACATTGGGACAATGAAGGGTAGAACCCACTGTTCAAAACATCTGTGTCCCCAGTGTCCAGCCCAAGGGTAGGCACCTCATGAAAGCACTGTGAGTGCTAACTGAATGAGTGAATCGCTGGAAGGAGGATGTGTGTTTATGAGTAGGGTTGGGAAATAGATATTTCTTTCACCCCAGCAGCTGATAAGAACAGGACACCATGGAGGACTGTAGGGGCAATAAGACAAAGGACTAAACAGGCAGGCTGCCATCTCACACATGAAAGCCTAAGGTGTTTAGAATTTACCCCACAGGTAATAAGAAGGAACTAGGAAAGGACCAAAGCTTTAGGGAAACTGAGTCTGACAGTGAGTGCAGGAAGGAATAGGGAGAGAGTGTGAGGGCAGGGGGAACTCTATTCAGCTCTTCTAGATTAGTACAAAGGTCCCCAGCAGGAATGGGGCTACAGACATAGAGACTTAATGGAGTAAGGGTGACTGTTGCCTCATACACCCACCTCCTATCCTCTCGGTGCTCAAAGTATCCCCGTCCCCGGTTTTCTTCATAAGGCCTCTTGCGACTCTGAAATTGCTGTCTGTCTTGCTTGAATTGAGAAGCTTCAGGTGGGAGGAAGCTGGTGGGTGCTTCTTGCTTCATCTCTGTTTTCACTTCTAGTGTCAGGACAAATCCAGATGGTCAAGACAGTCGGAAGCTCCCAAGCTATCACTTTTCCAGTCCCTTTTACCTCAGGAGATGCCAGCAGGATTCTGACTACAGTGGTGAAAGGCTGGGCACAGGCAGCTTGCTGGGTTCAACAGAAGTCTGCTGAGCCAGCCAAGAAGGCTGTACTAGATAGACAACAGAGCTAAAATGTCGTGACCCTACCTTCTCCAATTTCTCCTCCCAAAGAACCTCTCCACCTCAGTTCTTACAAAGATTCTTCAGTCTGGCAAAGGAGCGGAGGAGAGGGCAAATTCAACAGAGTACTGTGATCCTATAGCTAACTCTACTGGCTCCAGTCACCACACCATAAAGCCCAGAATCACTCCAAGAAGGGAGGATCTGCAGTTAAGCCATCCTATAAGTGTGAAAACCTCATTAAGTCGTACCACAAACAGTAGTCAGGATGGGATAATATGCTGTGGATCATAGGAAAGTCCCAGTTGTCAGGTAGACTCCAAGAATTAGCGCCCAACCTAAAGCAAACCGTGCATTCAGCCTAGCCTCATTTCTCCCATAGTATTTATCCTTGATGTTGTGGCTCACTCACATCTACTCATTTCAGCATTCAATCTAAGACTACCTTGGATCACTCCCTAGCTTTGACATATGAACCAAATCTCACAAAGAAGGCTGTTGGTTCTCTAGGGTAAGGATGATGCTTAGTCATCTTGAAGAGAGTCTCCACGGTTCCCAGCACAGGGCTGGGTTCACACAAGGCCCCAGGTGAATGTCTGTGGATAATGGCACAGAAAATATTCTCCTTGGGCCAAATGATCCTACAAGTCTCACAGAGCCTGACATAAATCTGCAGTTTAACCTACATTAATTCAAGTCCTCAGCCACCCACAAGAAATGTCTGGGGATTTCACTTTGTGGATGAACCAGAATGGAATTAGATAAAATCAACTAGACTCTAAAATCAACTAGATGCTAAGAAAAGGCACTGGGAACACAATACAGTGAAAGGAGCAAAAGAGTGGGAATCAGTCCTGGCTCCACCATTTCCTGGCAGTGGGACCCTGCTTTCCAAATAGTAAGACATAAATGGTGAGGAATGCTGCTTATTAAGCAAGAGAACTAGCCTGGGAGCCAGTTTCCCAGGTTCTAGCCCCAGCTCTGCCATTAGATAAGCCAACTCCCCAATCTGTAAAATGGAGTGGAGAGAGTTGGATTACGTATCTGTTTCCCAAAACAGCATTATGGGGAACTTTGTTAAGCAAAAATAGATTCACATGTTTGGAAATCCTGAGTTTAAATAACAAGATACAGGGATTTTTTGTTTCAATATCCAGGACTTTTTAGAACCTTTAATGCTTTGATGAGCATAGTGTATCTTCAAGAGATGCCTATGCTACACTTTCTAGTCGCATCTAGCTAAGGAAGCTTTTTCTGAGGAGCTCCTAATAACAGCTCCTGGAAGAATACTCTTTAGAACATGGAAATACCAAACTAGACTTAGAAGGCTCTTTCTGGCTTCTACATTCTAAGATTCTAAATAGACTTAAGTATTAAACTCCAGGTATAAACTCTCCAGGGTGTTGACACTAACATCTAAAAACATCAACACTTGGGAGTGGGACTGAATTTTTTTCTTCAAAAAACTCTGCCAAAGTGACAAAGTACAGATAAATTACCCAAGAAAAAAAGATGCAAAACTTCTATGGGAAGACAAGCTCTCAGCAGAGGGTAAGGGCCCAGGGAGATTCTGTTTCCATCAAGAGATAAACCATACGTGTCTTCCTACCTGGGCGATAGGCCTGTTGTTGCTGCTCCATTTCCAGTGGTCTCCTCTCATAGCCTGACTCTTCTTGCTTGATGACTTGGGTCTCATAGAATTGGTTCTGCCTGGTAATATTGTCCATGGCATCTTAAAACAAAAAATCCCAGACAGTTAAAAAGGTGCTTCGTGGAGGACCTTGACCCACAGGTCGCTTCTTTCTTGCCACATGACACCATCCCCACTGGGGTCAGTTAGTCTGACAAAGGCTAAAGTGTGACAACACCTTCAGATGGAAATCTATCTGGGCAGTCATTGGCCCCAGATGCCTGAGGACACGCCCTCTTGTCCGTGAGAAAGTTGCGTATCTACCTGTGACAAGGTTCTACAGAAACCCAATAAAGAAAACCAATTGAAGCAGAACTGCTCTGGTTGAAGCAAGAAGGGAAGGTCAGAGAAGGTGTCCAGCTTGACCTCCCCAACTAAGTCCCTAGTCCAGGGAGTGGGGCATCTCCACAGACAACTGGGACTTTGTGTAGCACAGTTAAAAAAACACCAGCCTAGCTGTTTTCTAAGATGGTATAATACTTAGGCAGTCACTTTCAGGGCACAACCTTAAAAACGGTTCAGGCCGGGCGCGGTGACTCACGCCTGTAATCCTAGCACTTTGGGAGGCCGAGGTGGGAGGATTGCTTGAGGTCAGGAGTTCGAGACCAGCCTGAGCAAGAGCGAGACCCCGTCTCTACAAAAAATAGAAAAATTAGCCAGGCATGGTAGCATGTGCCTGTAGTCACAGCTACTCGGGAGGCTGAAGCAGGATGATCGCTTGAGCCTAGAAGTTTGAGGTTGCAGTGAGCTACAATGCCACTGCCCTCTAGCCAGGGCAACAGAGTGAGACCTTGTTTCTAAGCCCCCCACCCCCAAAAATGGTTCAGAGCAAAAACCAGCCCTCTGCCCAGTCACTATTCCCACCTGCACAGCCAACCCTTTTTAAGAATCTCTTCTACCCCACGATAGCTGCAAAGGTAAAGGGTAATGATATTGGCTGAAGGGAAAATGGGAAAGGAAAGAAAGGAGCTGTTAAGAAAACAAGAATCATAATAGTGACCTTCAGGCTCATTAAGGATAGGTTCTGAAATATCTGGAGTTAAGTTGGAAGGGTTTCTGGAAGGCGTCCTGTGGGTCCAGGAGCTCAACTGAAGAGTGGTAAGAATAATAATAGTAACTATTCACGGAGTGTATACTATACTCCAGACACTGGGATATAGCTGAAGATAAGCTTGCCCCACTGAAGCCTTCAGTTTAGTGACACAGACACTTATTAAACAAATACACAAAAATTTAAGTATGATTGTCTTAGGGGCTACAAAGTACCACCAGGAGCTAAGAAAGGGACTTGGAAAATAACAGATAAGCCTTGACTGAAAGGATACATAGGTGATGACTCAGTGATGAGAATTAAGAACATTCCTGGGGTTAGGATAACACTTGTGAAAGCTTAAAGGCACTAAAACCTGAGTACCAAACCAGAAACTTAAGCTTAAAGGACTAAAACCTGAGTACCAAACCAGAAACTCCATCAAGGAAGAGAACTTTATAGAAAGGCAGGATGGGCAACACACATGCTCTCCACCCCAGGGGCAAGCTCTCTGGACCCCCAGGGCCCTGCCAGTAGCTGTGCCAGGAGCCAAGAGGCAGAACCAAAGGGTTCTGCCACTTGCTAACTGATCAGATTCTTTCTCAGAGGACAAATACATCTGGGCACAAACCAGGTGCAGCCCAAAGGGAGGAAAGTCACAGGTCACATGATCTGCTACAGGTCTGTTTACCAAGGCTGAATGAAGGATTGCAGTGGGGAATAAAGGGGGAATCAAAGGATTTTGTTGTAGTAGGTAGAGGAGAAAGGAAGAAGTAGAATTATCTCCTTAACTGGAACAAGAGGACCTTTCAGACTACTCTGCTTTTTCCAGGCTCCAGGCACAGTGCTCTTCTCCCCACAAAGCCCAGTGTGTCTCTTCTCAAGCATCTTTCCTGTGCCCAGAGGCAGCCTTGCCTGAAGAAGCCATGATTCTAGCGCCACTCTCTAAAACACCCTCCTCCTAATAACAGGCAGGCCCAGTGCTAAACTGCTAAACTCTGGACCTGTGTGATCTCATTCTTACCCCCCCCAAGGGGGGCAGGGAGACACTGTTATTAACCCCATTTTACATGTAAAGAAACCAGGCTCACCACAGATGAAGTGACTTGCTAATGTCACTAAGCCAGATTTGAAACAAAGTCTGAGTCTACAATCTATGCTCTGAAACAGGGAACTCGCTTCCTCTTGGAGACACCAGGTCAGGATTATCCCATTGCTTCTTCCTAGGCATTCGTCACATTCCCTCCTGCTCTAGACATGCACACAGGGCCACTCCTTTCTTCACAGGTCTCTGCATTAGGAAGTCCTCTTCCCAGCAACCGGATCCTGGATAATCCCTAGGCTGCTGTCTACCGCAAGTCTGCACTCAGACTGCTGCCCTCCCCAGGACCCTATCTCTCAAGAATGAGTATCAGATGCCAATCTCAAATCTCATCTCTTTTCATTCCCTTAGCCCCAAGCCCTTTTTTCAGAGAAACACCATAAACTTTAGATGTAAGAGTCCTTTCTACTTACTCTTTAAACTCTCCTGTCCCCCCATTTTCCAGTCCTGCTAGAAAACTACCCTTTTCTACTCTAGATTCACTTCTTCCCATACCAGGATCTCCTCTTCCCAGACAACTGCAAATAGACCCTAACCCCTTTATTCCCAGAGTCATACGTTCTGGCTGATGCAGAGGTTCCCTGCTAAGGCTCCCACTCCCTGGACACACAAGAGTCTTCCCAGCTCTAAACCCTCAGGTCCTTTGTCCAGTGAAGCACTCCCCCACCAGCCTCTGGACACCAGGGTTCCTTATGCTGCTTCTAGAAGCCAACCAGGAAGTCCTCCGATCTTCCAGCACCAAACGTCCAAGTTGCACTTGGCTCAAGGGTGGACTCCCAGTCTTGGGGGAGGTGGTGGGTCCCCCATAGTCCAATTACACGTTGGCCGACCACATCCCCTATATGGTCACCAGCCAAACATCAGAGCACTCAGTCCGTCAGACTCTCCCAAAGCAGACACCTGCGCCTCCACCTCACCAATCCACCCCAAACAAATACGAAAACTCCCATTATCCCATCCAGCCAAACTCCAGGATCCTCCTTCCTCAAAACTCTCCCAGCCCCAAACACCTGGCCGTACCTTCCCCAGCCCTGGAAACACGGCTCCTAACTCCCAGCCCACACGGCTCCTAACTCTGGGCTAGCACGGCCACCAAGCCCACCTGGCTCCAAATCCTACGATACCATTACCAAGACCCTCCCCAAACCCCAAGTACAAAAAAAATCTCTTGTTCTTCCGACTCTGTTCGGCTTCAGAAGCCAGTTTCCGGTCTCCGAGCCTTAAGGTCGGGAATCCTGCCCAACCCACCCCGACCCTCATCTCCGAAACCGACACCCCAAGACCCCCGGTATCTCCCCTGCACCGAATGTCAGGATCCACCCTCCGGTCTTCCGGAGGCCCTAGTCCCCAGATCCTTTTCAGCAGCGGGCAGTGGGATCCCCCGATCCTCAGACCGTCTCCCCGACCTCAGGAGCCGGACTCCCGTGTCCCACAGCCCTTCCTTGGCCCAGACTCCGGGCTCCCCGGCCCCCGCCCCGCGCACTCTCACAATGTCCGTCCGGCCCCGAGTAGCCGCCGGGCTCCGCGTGCGGCTGCAGCCCGGGCGGCGGTGGCTGTGCGGTCCCCTCCAGCTCGGAGCCCCCCTCGGTCTCGACCTCCTCGTTATTGTGCCCAGGTGGCCCCGGTTCGTCGTCGGCCTCGAGCTCCCGCTCGTCGTCAGGCTCCTCGGCCTCCAGCGCCGTCTGCAGCCGCTCAGCAAGCTCGGCCTTGAGGCCGCGAGTGTCCAGGCCGCGGCGCTGCAGCTCCTCGCGAAGTTCGTTCACCTTCAGACGGCGCACATCCATGGCCCGGGCCCCCGGGGTGGCCCCCGAGCCCGGCCCGGCCTCCCAGGGCTCTGTTCCCCTTAAACCTTTCCTGTCAGGAGGCGAAGGGGGAAAGGGGGGGCCCCCCCACTCCAATGGCGGCGGCGGCTCAAAATGGCCGCCGCCGCCGCCTCCCCCTCACCCGTGCCCCATGCGATGCAACACGTGCTCCAATTGGCTAGCGCGCGGAGGCAACGGGCGCGGGCCCGGAGCCTCAGCCAATCAGAGCGTGGTTTGCAAAAGAACAGCAATGAGAGGGCCCAAGAGCTGCCAGGGAGGAAGCGTTGGTCTACGTCTAAGCGGCGGCCGGAGCGGAGGGCGGGAAAAGGCAGGAGGCGGAGCACGCGCTGGTTGGGTAGCGCCCGCGCGCCAGCTGCCGTAAGGTCAAATGAGGAAAAGGGAGTAACGACTTGGGCCAATCAGCGATGAGATCTCAGAATGAGCGCTCCCCCCCCACCACCACCTTACCTGCGCAGTTCTTTCATCAAACTAAGTGTCTCTGTTAAACACACTCTGATTGGTCTAGATCTCCCGCCCCTTGAAGAGTCCGAGCGGGCAAAATCACAAGAACCAATCAAATGGAGGGTCGGCAGAAACCCCTCCTTCCTGTTGCCTTTAGGAAACCGGAAAGAGATGAATTCACGAAGGGCCCACCCCTTGCCGTTAGGGCGGTTTCAAAACAATCTGTCCACCAATCGTAGTTATTGTCTTATCTCACTAAAACTAGTATAGACGGATCGTTTTTAGGAAAAGTTAACCAGATTGGCCATTCTTCAGAGGCTTGCCTCACAAAATTCGCTGTACAAGGAGATATGCGGAGTAGAGATTAAGTAGACATACTACTTTTTTTTTTTTTTTTTTTTTTACTTCAGAGAGTGCTAACGGTTTGAAAATACAGGCTAGGCTAACAACGAGAGAAAAGCTGTAAAGGAAATTGCCCCCCTCGTCCCCGGTGGCTGTACACAGGCGCCTCTCCCCGGGGTTGCTACCCGACGTGGAACGCGCCCTGCACGCGACCACAGAGCCTCCCCCTCCAGAAAGACCCAGAAATTCGCGGACCGCTATCCTGAATCTCTTAATCGGCTGTCCAGGAAATCTGGCTGTTTGGCGTCTATACGGACAAGCTCGAACACGGATCCGTCATTAAGCCTCACGCTAACAAACACAAACGCCACAGTTTCACGATGTCTAAGGCTGCACCACCTGTGTCGCCTCTAAAGACAAAACTTCCGCAAGAGACACAGTCGAGATGCACAATGCAGACGCCCACTGCCTACTAAGTCCTAGCTTAAGCCCACAAAAGCCACACGCAGTCTCTACTTAGACAAAGGGACACGCCGCACAGATAAACAAATACTCGTGAGTCAGAGCAGATGCATCAGACCGGGGTAATAATACACCAAACTGCGGTGTAGATGTGCCCACTAAGGTCCGCATAAGTAGGCGACATCGAATGCTAAAGACACACAGGACAGTTAGGCTACAAGTCCACACTACAGCAACCGAGACACACAGCACCCACTCAGAAGCGGGACAGACACTCACGTGGGCCCGGAGGTTCCAATCCAGACACCCCGCCCCTCGCCCACGTCCGACTTCCTCTCTCCTCCCAGCTTCCCACA